AGGGGAAAAATGAGGACCTAATGTCGGGGGTTTAAATGGAGAGAAAATGTTTTGAGAAATGATGTACAAATACGCTTTACACAATTGATTTGTGTATGGATTGGGATAACAGTTGTATGAGCCCCTAATAAAATGTTTTAAAAAATATATATTACAGACCAATAAGCCTGGCTTCTTTTAAGAAGCATAATCTTGAGGCTTGAGAGCATGTTACTGAATTAAGAAAGAAGGATCTTATATAAATGTAAGCTTTGGCAATGTTCATAATTTCATATGAGACCCAGCTACAGCCTCACTTGTTCAACTCTCCCTGTCATATCCCTCCACCACAGGAGAACAAGCTGTTGCTAAATGTTGCATGGCTTGTGCTCTGCTCGAGGAGCACGAAGATGACAAGTCCATGGAGCAGTGGGAGGAAGCAAAGGCTGCCCCCATCATGCCATCGGTCCTGTCTTTTGGCAATTAAGGTCCTTCACTGGTAACTGTTTGTTCCACTCTTATGCCTTACCATCTGTTATTTTTCTCATCCCTCTGCCTCATCCCTACTAGGTCAGGCAATGCCGTTCATCGCACCAATCTTTTCATCTTGGCACCAAGTTGCTTTCTGTCTGGGGATGACTGTGCTGTTTGCAGTGGACACGGCTCTGTATTTCTTTATACAGAGTGACCTTCGGAGCTTCATGGGGGACTGGAGAAACCGCAGAGTTAAATGGAAGAACCAAACAGCCAAACTGGAGGAACCACAAAGTCAGGGCCCTTGGGACAAGTGACCCTTCATGCCATGGGGTAGTAACAGCACTGGCAGCAGCATCTCTGAGGCTCGATATATTCACAGCCTCATTGCCCCCAGTAATTATAGCTGAAAGCAGCCAGTAGAATATCCCCTCAAGCCAATCTGAAAGCCCTCCACACAACCTACTATTTCCTCTTGGTCTCCAAAGAAAGGGTCATGATCTTCAGGTGCAAACAATGGAAACCCACTGAGTACCTGAGTGCCCAAGAATTGAAGTCTTGGTGCTACACAGACACTCAGTCCCAACCACTGCATCACAGCAAAGTAACAACGCGGGCTTCAGATGGTGACCCTGCATGTGTATGAACAATGTTCCAAAAATAAACTAATAAAAGATAAGTGGATTCATGATTGAGAGTGGGCCATGTGTAAAGGTAGTTTACATCTGCGCTCCAGGGCTGGTTACTTTGAAGCTATCCCAAATCTCTCTCCAGTTGGTGTTGGCCACTACTGGAGTCTAGGAGACATAGCAGAAGCAATAAGGGGCTGACTGAGAAAGGGTAGGACACTCCAAGAACAGTCCCAGAGATAAAATAACAGAAAATCACAGGGTGAGGGAGAATGAAAAGGTTCAGAGGTGTTCCTGTCAAAATTGGAATCATCTTTGGGTAGATAGTAAGAAACTCTTTCCCCCTCATCATATTCTTAGGATTGTGAGTCGAAAAGGGACTGTGAGCATGAGAACATTTGGGAAAGAAAGCATAGAAGAAAACGGGGATCCAAAGGAAGGAACGCAACTTTGCTTTCTTGGCTTTGGCGACATCAACTGAAGATACCTCAGTTTCTGCACTGAGAAAGCATGGCAAGAAAGCATCAACCACAACCGTATGGGAAGGAACGGACAGGGTGTGAAAATTCTTTTGGTTTTGGTCAGGGTAGTAGAAGTGAGGAAGGGGAAACAGTGTTATGTTGTTGGTAGGTGCCATTGAGTCCATTTTGACCCGTGGCAACCCTGTGTACAACAGACGGAACACTGCCCCGTCCTGCGCCGTCCTCACCATTGTCCACATGCCTGAGCCCGTTATTGCAGCCACGGCGTCCATCCATCTCCTGGGGAGCCTTCCTCTTGGTCGCTGCCCTTCTATTTTACGAAACACGATGTCCTTCTCAAGAGACCAGTCTCTCCTGAACTAGTTCCAAAGTATGTAAGACCAAGTTTCACCTTCCTTGCCCTCTAAGGAGCGCCTTAGCCATACTTCTCCCGAGACAGACTTGGATAAATAGATCAGGGGAGGGATGAGGATTATAAAGTCAGGTTTTCTGCTTTGATACTTAACTGGAGTCGAGTTTTATCCTTGTCACTCACTAGACAAATGTTGGATCACCAAGACTGAATGTGCTGAAACCTATTGAGTTCAATTAGGGAATTGTTAAGTCTCTCAGCATGTCAGTAGCAGTGGGATGAGGATGGAAAAGGCAATCATTGCTGATGGAAGAAAATGTATAGCTGATACCAGGGGCTCAAGTTGAAAGAAATGTTTAGAAAATAGTGCTGACAACATACGCACAAATGTGCTTGATACAATTAATGTATGGATTGTGATAAGAATTGGAAGAGCCCCAATAAAATGATTTATAAGAAAGAAAGACAATATATAGCTCTCTCTTCCTGAATTGGAATTTTTCAGCAAAACATTGTTGCATTTTAATAGTGTCTTAAAAGATCCTGCATGCTAATTTTTGGCAGAAAAGTTTTCAACCATGGTGATAAAACACGAATGATAAAAATCCCTTTTTTCCACCCATTGCTCAAAACTTTATCAGAGATCTGTTTGGGCTGAGGAGAAACTCCCAACTTTTGCTCAGCCACCATCTCACCAAACTTAGCCAGCTTATTTCCAAATCCTGCTGAGACAAAAGAGCCCTGGTGGGCTTCCGCAGCTTGACTGCTAACCAAAATGTGGGCAGTGTGAATGCACACAATTAGGTGTAGGGGGTCTGGAGAGTGTATGGAATATAAGAGGGTGAATAGAAGTAGGAAGTCTTTTTAAAGCACGGCAAAGGCTCCCTAGGGGTGCAGTGAGTAGTGAAAGCTCCTCCCCAGTCTGCAGAAGACAAATGTGGCCGTCTGCTTCCGCAGACAACAGAGTCGACCTCCGTGGGGCAGTTCCGCTCTGTCCTACAGGGTCGCTAAAAGTTGGGCGAGATGGCAATAGATTTGGTTTGATTTTTTTTGTTGTTTTTTTTTTTTTGCTTAGTAAAACCATAAATTAATCTGCCTTACAGCTAGCTCTCTAAAACCTTAGGTCTGGAATACTATTTCACATATTGAGCTTTTTCTTTTTCTCCCAACAGCTGTATTGGCATATAATTTGCATAGGATACAATTCAGTAGATCAATTACCTCAAGAAGAGGTGCACAATCATCCGCACAATCAGTTTTAGAACATTTTCTTCATTCTTGTACTCATCGTTATTAGCTCTTCATTTCCCCTAAACCTCCCCTGCCACACCCCCAAGGAATCATCCACCCAGTTATTATTTCTATAGACCTACCTCTCCTGAATTTTCTATACAGAAAAACATTAAAACAGCAACTAGCAACAGTGATAAAGTGAAACGTCAATTAAAAAGAAAACAGCAAATAAAGAAAATATTAAAAACTAGAACAAATGTAATGACTCATAAGAGAAATCACTTGATAGGGTGTTAAATTTTACCCTAACTGGGGTTTGCTCTGAAGGCATGGGACAGGTAGAAAGCACAGGGAGGCCAAACCCTGGAGACAGGACCTGGGCAGAGGGTTAGAGTGTATGGCTATGGAGTGAGATTCAAACACTAGATAACTATCCTTGGAAACACTGGCCAGTGAGCTCACATTTATTCAGTATTTACAATGTGCCACGCTGATGGGTGCTGAGGATATCCACATGAACAAACCTTGCCCGGGAGGAGCTTCATTCCCTGGACGAGAGCGGTGGAAGAAAGAAAGAGCTGCAGGGAGGAGACAGGATTCTTGATGGGGTCATGAAGGAGACTCCACCAATGATCCACGGGCAGTCAGAGTTCAGGAAAGCCCTGTGGTGTCTAAGGTGAGGCAGAGCCGGATCATGAAGGGCATTGCCTTCCAGATCAAGGAGAGGGTACAGACTCTGCCAGTCAGGAAGGAACTTTTAAGGAGGGGAATGGGGCGATCTGATTCGCATTTAGGATTCTTTGAAGGGCGGGCGGGCGAGCAGAGAGCTGTAAACCAGCTCGCTTGGTTAGGTAATCAAACGGTGCCCGGAGGGGAAGTCGAGAGTAAGTTAGGCAAGGCAGCGAGCTCGGCCGAAACGTGCCATTTCTGGAGCTTACGAAGCAGCAGAAGGGGACGCATCGTGACTAAGGACTTAGTCTCGGTTTCCGTAGGTGGTGCCGTTTCAGGAGTTGTGAAGTCCAAAACACGCGCAGCTTTTAGAGAAAAGACCTCAAAATTCATGTTCCGATTAGTAGTACTTACTTCCATCAGTCGGTAAATTTTCTTTTCCGAACTCTTTCTTTTATCAATTAGTTGGTCGAAGTAATTGCGCCACTTACGTTGTAGACGAAATGCTTCAAAACTCTTTCTTTTACCAATTAGTTGGTCAAAGTAATTGCAACACTTACGTTGCAGACGAAATGCTTCAACAACATTTCTAGCAAAACAGCTAGGACGAGAGCGGGCTATGACGAGAAGCGAGGACTTCTCGTGCTTCTAACGTGTAATAAACAAGAGCGCGTTGCAGCCTCGAGCGCAGCTTTTCCAAGGACCCAAGGGTCCAAAATGTCTTCCCGTCCCTGGGTGGGCTCGAACCACCAACCTTTCGGTTAACAGCCGAACGCGCTAACCGATTGCGCCACAGAGACAGGCGTGGAGAGCATTTTCTGCCAAGTTAGTTCACTGAATAAGCAATTCGTCGCGAGCCTCTCGGGTTCAAAACTGGAATGTGGTTCAAAATAAACGCTGCTGCTCCGGGCCGTCGGGAGGCTTAGGCGGGAGCCTGCGAGGCGGTTGTTCGCTCTCCACGCACCACGCCGTCGGGATCCCGGGCGCCACGGGTCCCCCCGCGCCCCCAGCCGCCAAGGTCTGAAACCGCCCTTCGACCGGGCCGAGAAGCAGGGCGCAGAAACGGGGCGGCTTCGTAGGCCCCGGAGTTCAGTTGGTTTTACTCAGGTAGTTTGTGAAAATCCTCTCTCTCTATCCATACAGATATGTGACCCTTGACACTCAATACGTTGGTGATGATGCGGGTTGAAAACACTGTCTCACGTGTCCTGGCTCCAGGGCCCTGAGCCGGTGCCGGGGCTCCTTGCTCTGCCCGACAGGCGGGGCTTCCGGAGTCCCAGCACCTCCACCCCAGTCAAGCTCCACCGACGGATTCCACAGCACCCGGGCAGGTACACGCAAGCGGCCACTGTCCACTTCGCCCAGGTTTCTGGGCTCCTTGCAGCCTCCACACAGGACCTGCGGCTTCCTTTCGCACCCCCACCTCCAAATCAGGGCACTCCAGTTTAGTGTGGAGCAGTTTTCATTTTCCTGAATATGCAGCAGAAGGAGAAAACATACACACAAAGATATGCCTGTGCACAATGTATATATTAAATATATGCCTTCGATATATACATGTATTTTTAAAATTTCCCAGAAACATATAATATATATCTAAGGATGGTTGATATATACATGTATTTTTAAAATTTCCCAGAAACATATAATATATATCTAAGGATGGTTGCCCAAGTGACTTTTAAACAAGAGTGATGTTTCTTACAATTCAAAATTTTTGTCTTTAGACGTGCTATTTAAAATAAAATAATAGGGTACAGGACATTAGTCGTATTGTGATTGTTTTATTCATTTCCTAACTTGGCAAAATACTATTCTACAAGAGGGAGAAGATTGAAAGAGGGGCCAGGGCAAGCTATTGGGAGGTTTGATAAGTAGTTTAAGTTGTTGAATACAATTGATTATCTAAAATGTAACCCCCACTGTGTTAGGCCGGGTTGTCTGGAGAAACAAATGCAGTGACATTCATACATGTATACGAAAGAGCTTTATATTAAAAAAAGCATAATAAAAGGAAGGCATCCCAGCCAGACAACTCAAGTCCATGAGCCCGATGGAAGCCAGGGCCCTCTTCAGACTACACGGCTATAGGCTGATCATGCAGAAAGATGAGATGTGATATGCAGGAAGATCACAGGGTGATGGGTGCAGAGTTGCAGGGATCCTAGGTTGCTGGAAGCATGGCAGGGTGCCGGCAGCTCTGAGTCAGTGGGCCCACATGGAGCTACCCCAGGAGGCAGAGTCCCAGCAAGCAGGAAGGCAAGGGGCAGAGAGAGAAGGAGGTTCCCAGTTTCTTCTTAGAAGAAGGCCACACCTCCAATGAGAC